CTGATTCTCTTCCCAGTGAGAATGACTTCATTTGTGGAGATGTTCTTGAGAGATGCCATGTCCTTGCAGAATTCCAAGGAGTAACCTTTATCACAAAACTGACTTATGCTAAGAAGGTTGTAATTGAGCCCTTCAACATAAGATACAGCTTGGATGGTTAGTCCCTTGTACACCAGATTTCCTAGCCCTTTAGTAAGGCCGAAATCATTGCTTCCTCCAAAGGTAACTCTTGGACCATCATAGGGAATTAGATTGCTCAAAAGGCTCGCATCACCCGTCATGTGTCTTGAACAGCCACTGTCTAAGTACCAGACACCTGGGTACTTAGTGACTTCCTGCATTAGGAGGAGGAAGATTTTGGTACCCAATTAAGTTTGGGTCCGGAGTAGTTAATGGTGTGTGTCCCTACATCAAGTTTGAAGTTGCAGGGAATCTTCCTTGCAGCTCTAAACTTGTTGGGATTGTAATCATAGTTGTAGGCATAAAACTTCCTACGTGCAGGAGGTGTTATTTCTTGTTTCCTCCTAGCAAACCTAGGTTGATAAGACCTATAATTTTGTCTAGGTTGTGCATAGTGTGTCCTGTGTCGGTTATAAGCATACTTAGGTGGCACAAATAGCTTCTAGGGTGGAGGGTGACTATATCCTGGCATAGTTCTCCACTCAGAATTTCTTGAAAAACTCCTGTCTACCCCATAATGGGTATAGCCTCGTGTATAATGGGGGTTAGAAGGTTTTCTTCTGAAATTATTTCCTTTTTGAGGTTTGTCCAGCTTCCTATAGTTCTTAGGAGGGACTACCTTTTTGGGAACTTCTGTTGGTTTTTCCTTTTCCTTCCCTTTCTGCTTATTTGGTTTAGCAGTAGGTTTAGGAGGAATGAAAGTTGTTTTCCCTTTCCTTTTAGAATTGGAGGGGTCAAACCCAAGTCCTTCACGACCCTTATGTTTGGTCGTTTCAAGAAGCTTATCCACTGCTTCTTTGGACTTGAGTATCCCTAGCTCTTTGTTAAGGGATTTCACTTTTTCAGAGAGAGATTCATTTTCAGTCTTGAGTTGAGTGATCTCATTCAGTTGACTTTTCCGACCTTCAGTCAACTTGAGATTCTCTTCACTCAATAGTTTGTTCTCCTCTGTTAAGGAAGAATGTTTGAGATTTATCTCCTCAAAGTCTTTCATCATCTTTTTGAACTGGTCAAAAAGATTTTCAGAAGTTGGTATGCTTTCATAAGAAGATGAGCAGGAGGTTTGTGAGGTTACCTCTTGATCAGCATCATCTTTGGCCATTAGGCAGAG